AACACATAAGCAAGAGTCATTTGTCTTATGCATGCATAGCTCCAAAGCTCCAAATCCCAGCTTAATTAGTACCAATGCAGTCTTTCTAGCCAGAGAAGACACATGCGAAAATCTTTACTGCAAACAAAGAAACAAACTCCCCCGTCCTCCCCACCAAAAAAGAAAACATGTGTGCTTCCTAATACTTCAGGAAAAAGAAAAGGAGATCAGGAGAAAAGGACAGGTGAGAAAGACTAGCCTTGAGTTGATGAGTGTTTAAGCCGGGAGAAGCACAGGGAACACTGCAACTCTCACCACCCTCGTTTTGTGTATGTTAGAAATTTTCCATAGTGATTTTTAAATCTATAGCAACATGAGGAATTTCCATGAAGTACAGCAATTAAAATTCAGACTCCATAGGATGGGCCAGGTATAAGGACTCCTCCAAGCAGACCTTCCTGTCTACCCTTCCTTTAGCCTTCCCTGTTCCCTTATGTACCAGTTCCAACAATCAATGTCTAACTTCAGCAAGGCCTAGATAAAAGTGCCCCCCATTCAATGCACCGACTCTGTAAGGAAACAGTCTCATCCTTCTTTATATACCAGAACTTTGCTAGGCTTCTTGAGGGACACGACTTACGATACCATGATAACAATCATGATAATAAGAATCATAATTGCATTAAAAAGCTAGTCTGTACTGACTGCTTACTCTGTCCCAGGCACTTTAAAAATGCCACAACATTTAATCCTCACAATCTCCCCTGAGGTTGCTGCTATTTACTATCACATTTTACAGATGAAAGATTAGAAGCTCAGAGAATTCCAAGAGGTGAAAGAGGGGCCCACTGTGGTGTCAGGTATGTTTTCTACCTTTGTACCTTAGCTATAAAGTCTGGTTGGCAAACCTGAATTTTTGACCTGACTACCATAATGGATACATTTGGTTCTTCCTACTGAACTGTAGTTCCTTCCAGGTAGGGACTGTGGCTTTTTTCTTTCATGTTCCTGTTTGTCTAGTATAATGCTTCACACACAGCAGATGCTCAATAAACTCTTGTTACCTGAACACTACTGATACAAGGCATTTCTGAAGCTGGAGAACTACATGGAAGTCTTACACTCTACCTGCCTGCCTCCATAGGGAACCGAGATAGAAAAGTCAGCTCACAGAATAGCTACAGCCCTCTCCTCCCCACGTCTCTGTTCACAAGGTCACAAAACTAAAATGGTCTTCATCTTCTCCCTTCACTGGCACGGTCAGTGACCAGGAAGAATTCTTTCTCATGCTATTTTTATTTTGCTTCCCAGCTGTGGACTCTCTCCCTCTCCCTCTGTAAAACCCTCCCCCTACTACACTCTGGATTCAGACTCTGGGTGATGATTCTAGAAGCTCAAACTGAGGCAGACAAGCTCACTACCAACACCCCCCACACCACCCCCGGTTTCCTTCTTCTTAAATTTCCCCTTTCAGGGTTTTCTTTCCAACCAGTTGCTATTAGTCTATGGCTAAATTTTGACCCTTTTCCTGAATACAACAAAGTCCATTGGTCTGGCTCTAAGAAAATTTGGCAGGCTGGGGAGATAGTTCAGTAGGTAAAGTTTTTACTGTGCAAGCACTAGGACCTGAATTTGATCCTTGGTACCCTTGTAAAAAGCTGGGCATGATGGTGTGCCTGTAATCCCACCTCTGGGGAGACAGAAGAATCCTTGTGTCTCATTGGCCAGCCAGTCTGGCTTAATCAGTGAGCCCCAGGTCCCAGGGAGAGAACCTGTTTTCAAAACAAAAACAAAAACACAACAAAAGGCCCAAGGAGGACAGCACCTGAAAAATGACACCTGAAGTTGATCTCTGCACACACACACATACACACACCCCTCCTCCAACACATGTACCTACCCACATACACACCCATGTACGCACATATACCTACATACACACACACACACACACACACACACACACACACGAAAATCTGGGAAGCAGACTCAATTGTCTTCATTTCCTTCTCCAACCTTCCAACAACCCTTTTCTTCCAGCTGCAGGTCTTTTCCTCTCAGCTCTGAGAACTGAGAAGAAACTGGCTAATGAGAAGATATGAGCTCAAAATATCCTGAAGGACTTCCTCTCACTGTAGCTCCTCAAATCCCACCAGCAGAGTGAGCATCTTATGAGAAGCCTTCTATTCCCAGAAGAATAATAAGTAAGCTTATTTGTCCAAGGAGATATTTGATAATGATAAAGGGACCAAGAATTGAGTTAGAATTTGGTACAAGGGCTAGTCATCATGGTTGATTCTAAATGTTCCCTCTTAGTTCTTGAATGTTATGTTACTGTTCGTGTTAGGATGATACAAATTTCCCACATTTTCTTTCACTGAAAGTTGTCTTCTTTGGTCATAAACTTGACTGCTATATGCACACATCTATCTATGAAGAGTTAGGTGACACGGGGAACTGTGAACCATTACACAGGACTTGTTTTCGCAAATTGCTCATCTTGATAGCCTTGCATTGTCAAAATTAATTCTGAAAGCATAAATAAACCACTGTAGAATCACCAACTAAAGAATCTTGGCCACTAAGCTAAAGATCTAGTCCTTTATGTAGTACATTAAGTGTGTGAAGGCACATATCACAGTTTGGGATTTAAATGGAAAATCAATACCCTACAGGAAATCGACAGTTGCACAGTGGCTTCTGCCAACCAGTGCCTTCTTCATCAGTGCCTTCTGATTGCACACACTTGTGTATTCCAGGCATTGATTTTACTTTGCTTTTGTTTAGGTTGCTTAATATTCCTGCTTCCTCCAAGAAGCAGAGGCTGGGGGAGGGGCACAGAGACATTCAACCATCAGTAATACAGTTAAGGCAATGTCCTGTCTATCTGGCCTAGTCCCTTGTCTGTCAGTGCCTGCGGCCTAGGAGACAAGCTTTCCTGCTATGGGCTCCTGATCGCCTGGAACTCCAAAGAGGCCTGTTCCCTCAGCACTTTTTCTCATTCTCTCCACTGGCTGCTGTGCAGTGAACCGTGGAAGAAGCATCCAGAAGCACCCTGAAGCCAAAAAGGCACTTTGGAGTGGGGCTTACAATCCTCCCTCCCTGTCAGATTCCTTAACAATCTGCTCTAAGTTGCACTAAGAAAACTTTAAGGACTTCCTATTTCTGTCTTAAGAATGAACACTTCTGCATGGAAGCGTAACTTCTCAAGCCTTCAAGACAGCCAAACACCATCACTTTTCATGCAGCTGAAAAAAATTAAATTTCTCCTTGGAGAAGTAAGCTTACTTGTATTTTCTGTTTATTCTTCTTTTTCTTTTATCACCAGAAAGTATACAATATAAAGCATTTCCAGCAGTTACCGGAAGGATGAAGACCATGCCAAATCTCTCAAATCTACTGCCACACAGTTTTGAGTGTACGTATAGCAATGATGAAACATCTATTTTCTCTAAAAGTATCTGTAAACCATGTTTATGTTTTTACTTCAGTATAACTCAAGCATGTTTACTTCTCTAATACATAGGGATAAAATAAATATGGTATTTTAGTCTTAACAATCTCTTTAAAAAGAAGTGAGCTACTCCCAAAAGCATTCTAATACCAAAACATCATAAATGCCCCCACGCTTGCTCTAACCCTAGACATGGAGAACTAGTTACCAAGAGGAATATTAACAACGAAGCAAAAAGAATTTCCTGCAGGTCTGGATGTTTAAGATCCCTCAAATAGAGTATCAGGTGACTTAAATTTTATGTAAAAGATTTCATTTATAAGCAGCGAATCTGCCTGCAGGTTGGTTGGTCAAAAGCACTGCACACATAAGCTGAGTGGTGCTATTGTAACGGTGCCCACTGTGCGGGGAGGAGGAGGCTCTTGCTGTCAACATCTAGTTGCTGAAGCTGGAATGGGTAAGACCTATATCTTTCTCTCTTTCCCTGCTCTTTGGCCACTTTGTTTCTAATGAACAGTTGGTATCAGAGCTAAATCCAAAGACTGTTTGTTACACGTGGGACTTCCTAATGCAGAGACCTGGCAGAATTTTTATACTCTATTTGGTCAAAAAGCCAAACAGAAATTAAGCTACCTCAAAATGTAACAACTGAGCACCCTCATTCTCTTTCTCTGTTTTCATTTAGTTGGAGAAAATGTTTTTGCTCTAATGCAACTGAAAAGAAAAGAACATTTAGGGACAACATAGCTAGATCCCTCATAAAGCTTCATTTTCAAAAGCAGTGTTTGAATCTCTAAATAAATGACAATTCATTCTCTGTTTACTTTAGGTAAACAGAAAATGCATTGCAGAGCACTCATTTTCAAAAGCTAATCAAGAACATTAGGTCCCAACAGATTCATTTAATAGAAATATAATAGGCATTCCTGCCTGCTTTTCATCTTGTCTCGCTGTAAATGCAAAAATGAACAGCAAATTAACCCTGCGTTGGAACCGAGTTTCTGTCACAGCTGATGTCCTTTTCTCATGACATGTAAACATCCCCCCATCCTGTCACTACTTTGACTCCTTTTGCAGGGGAGAGACGATGGAGTTTGGCAAGAGAAGGGAGGAATACTTGATTTCTACGGGGAGCACTGAGTGTCAACCCTGCTATCTTTCCTAGCAGAGGAGAATAGCGCAACGGTTATCTCCTACAATGGTGCACATTTAAGAAGTAGGAGGAGGGGTGGGGCAGGGAGGTGGGTTTTCTCTAAGCTCCATACTTCAACTGTCTTTGTATTTTTAACTTTACTAGCCATTCTCCAAGTGGCTGCTTAAAAACTATTATACAAAACAACCTAATAAAGACAGGGCCATTCAAGCTCTATAATCAAATATAAAAGATTTGCAAACAATTTGAGATCTTATAATTAATATGCAGTGATATCAGAATTAGCATTTAGAACTCTATACAGAAAAACTATAATATTTCTTAAATTATGTAATCATGAACAAACCCTTTCAAAAACTGTTTTCACTGTGCTAAAGTAACATTCTAGACTTGTTGTAAGTATGTTATTCTTACAAGTAGTTCGCAGTTATTCTTGAAGGCAAGCCTTGGAGTTTCCTTAGCATAGTGCTGCTGGGGGAAATTTTCAGCATGTCCATCTTCATCTCTAGCCTGAAGGGAAATATAATGGCCTATTTAGGGACTTACAAATAATGGAAGAAAAAAAAAGCTAAAAGCATAACAGCTCAGATCATTAAACAAATGGGAATCCAGAAATAACAACATTATTAAGAAGTTTGTTTAAATACGCAGTACGCCTTTCAGATATCAAAATTTGGGATTTATTTTTCTTTACATCGTTTAGTTTGAACATGCAAATTCATTGTGGTGTAATATTTAAAATAACATGAAGCAAACAAAAATCAACTACTTCTGTTGGTGATCACCACCACATTAGTCTTACAGTGCACATGATTTGCTGCACATTTAGGGTTATATGACATACATACGTGTTTAAACTTTTTGGCATGCTTAAGCAATCTCTAGATAATGCACTTCTAAGAAATTCTAATAGCAAGGCCATAAGAAAAGCAATTTGCATAGTTATATTTTGCATTGTAATATTATTAGAGAAACTGATTCCCCTTAATTTTTAAATAAAGATCCAAAAGGATCAATGATCTAGTAAGAACAATGATTCCTCAATCAAATGTGATTAAAAAAGATTTAATTAAGAAGTTGCGTTAAAAGTCACTAGTTATTGTGAACTACACTGTTAATTAAGAAAGCTGGAGTTTAAATGGAGACATTAACAGAACCCATTAGCAATACCACTTGCACACAGTCTTTTCTTTCTAATCTCCAGTGGTTTCTGGTTTGGAGCTGGTGTGAAGGGAGAGGTAGGTGAAAGGGGCGTGTGTGCAGCACACGCATGAATCCATTCATTGGGTGACTTGCACTCAGCTCTCTTCTCTTAGCCCTAACTGCTCTCTCTCTTTCCTGGCCTCCTGAAATTCACAGCTGAGCTGTCTCCCTCACATATGGCTTGCATATAATTATGCATATTCCATTTTGCACTGCATTAAAATGATGAGCTCCTGGCTCCCTGCCAGCTGATTTTTAAAAGCCCCAGTGAAGTAGGAAAAAGGAGAGAAACACAGGGAGAGCCGCACAGGAAGCAGCAGGTAGTTCTGTCTGCGGTGTCTTCAGATAAAATGTATATCTGGCACGAAGAGAACGGCAAAAACTACATGTTGTGATGTATGGAGTGGGGTGGGGGGAGAAAAAGTATGGCTGCTGGCACAGTGATGACAAACCTTGTATTGTCTCTCTAATAAACTGAAATCTTCCCTGACTGGTGTCACTCACAGCTCCCTGGTTATGCTGCAGACGTCATTTTAAAAGGAATCCATACTTTGTACATTTGAGAACTGTGTTGCTTGTATTTTAATAAAGGTCTCTGCTACTTATCATGAGAAGGGTTCTAGGTGGAATTTGGAAATGGAATGTTATGGTCAGTTATAGTTGGGTTATAGTAAGTTTGTGAGGAAAAGAGATTGCTCTATTTTTGGTTTCATTTTTGGAATTTTATGAACATCTCAGAGATGTGGTGCCTTTTCATTGTACAGTTTCCCCCGACCAAATCAGAGTAAAATAAAAACGTAGTGATAGGATAGGCCCTTTGTGACAGGAAAGAAGTATGTGGTGCCTGTCAAGTAAACTGAAACCAATGGCATTCCTTCTCACTGCACCCCAACTAGCCTGCAGCAACATCACAGTGCAGGCTGGTGGAACTCAAAGGGGATCCATTTTATAGCCCAACTGGTAGAGGCAGCAGCAAATATACAAAGGACAGCTGTAAGAAAATTTTAAGATGCCAACAGGTGGCAATAATATTCAATTCTTCATAGCAAAATTTTAACCCACTGTGTGAAGTATACACACAGTGTATATGTCAAGGAAGGGACTACCAATTTTGTCATGTCCATTGACTTACTTTTAGTTGGTACTAACAAACATTTAAATGAAGAAAAATAGCCCCTTCTGGATAGTAACTAGACCATACCATAAACAATACTTTAAGAGATGCCATCTCAAAATATGCCAAAATTGGTGGTAGGTTTATTATATTCCTGATGCACTGTGATACATATGCTTGAAAGCCCAATTTGCATATCGTTTACAAGGGCTACCATTTACATATGTATGTCTATATTAAATATATATGTATCTTGTGTATAAATATTCATAAGGTGGAATATGTTTATTATGCATGTACTATGTATACACATTCATACACACCAGATGCCTAGGGATATTTTCAACATGAATGGCAAAAATACATTCATTCCACTTACATACAAGGTGCTCACAATACTTTCTATGTGTTTAAAGGACAAAATAATCCCATTATCTAAGATTTGAATTTTCTTTATAGATTTCACATAAAGCCTTATCATTTGTGAGGTTTAATTAGGCAGCAGTGGAGGAGAATGGAGAGGACTGAGAAGACGGGAAAGTGGAGAGAGGAAACAAGAAACTTGCTTCTTCACTGAGCCATTATATTCACTTCTGTATCAATTTCTCCTAACCTGATGCCAGAGTTCAAGAAAACCCATCCTCCAGGGCCAGTGAGATGGCTCAACAGACAAAGGCATTTATGGCCAAGCTTGAAGACCTGAGTTCAATCCCTGGGACTCACATGGCAGAAAGAGAGAACTTACTCCCTAAATTGTCTTCTGACCTCCACACATGCACCATGGAAAGGCCTGTGCATGGGCACGCACATGCACACGCACACACACACACACATACACACACACACATAAATAAAAATTAATAAGAAAAAAAAGAAATCCCATCCTCTAGTCACTTCCTGCATTTTCACCACACAGCACAGAATGGAAAACACTGGCCACCACCCTCACATTTTGTGTGTATGTGTGCACTAATACACACCTCTCACCAAAGTGGTCCCATTTGAATTCTCAAATTTTAGAATGTGAAATTTTAAATCTTTAGTATAGGACTCAGTAAACTAAGTGCGTTCATCTAAGGCCATAACTCATACCATGGATGCACACCAGAATCATCTGGGCTGACTCGATGTTTGCTTTCTCTCTCTCTCTCTCTCTCTCTCTCTCTCTCTCTCCCTCCCTCTCCCTCTCCCTCTCCCTCTCCCTCTCCCTCTCTTTCTCAATATATTGCTGCCTGACTCCTAGCTCCTACCTTTCCAAGAGTCAAATTTAATTAGTCCAGAGTGGAACTTGAACACCAGTATTGTTTTTCTGAATAAAAGAATAATAATAAAAAGCTCTCAAGTGATTGTAATGTACAGGCAAAGCCAAGAACCACTGGTCTAAGGAGGGCATCCACAGGCACCAAGAGAACACAGTGCCAGGCAGATGGAGGCTGTGGCCCCTGAGGTGGGTCTTATCCTGAAGATTTAAAAATCATGCCACCATCCTGTAGGCAAAATTTCTCGCTTGTCTTTGTTTGCTTCTTAGTTTCCGATACGCAAATAGACTTGGAGAGCTAATGCCCCATTTCCTGGCAAAGGCCTTTTTCAACCTCTCTAACCAATACAAATATTACCATTTTATTTTCTCCTTACTTGACATAGTCACAACTGTGCCACTGTTGCTGTGATTCCCATCGTCCCTGATAAGGCATATTGAGGACAAGCAGGTTGGGTCTCTCAACACTATCTTTAACCATTGCCTGGTGAGCACGCTCCAAGAATGAGCTTTCTCATCATTCCCTGGCAACTTTCAGGCCATGTCAAATAGAATTCACACAGCTCTTCTAATCTTACATGTAGAATCATTTTAGAATGCTTTATAATCTCATGTATTGATGCAAGTGACTTATTCTACATCTGCCCTATTTGGGGGTGCCAGACAATGACTTAACAGCGGAGATGGAGACAGAGGAAGCCAGCCATCCCTGCAGATGAAGATGGTTACACGGAAATTATTCGAAGCATCAGCTCCTGGTAGTAACGTAAAGCAGGCTGACTTTCAGCCAGTTTTATTATTGTTCTTAAATTTTCTACAGACAATATGTCTCTAATTGCCTGCAGGGAGTAGACCACCCCACTGGTAGTTCTTGGCACCCACTGAAGATGAGAGAACTGTGTTGATGTCTGACTGTTTTGGAGTGGCAAGTTCTGAAAGAAGGAACGTCAAGACGCTTCATGACAAACTAACTCTCTCCATGTGTCTTATTCCCAACAGCTTCATTCTGACTAATGTGCAAATGAAAGACTACTTTTTGCATTTTACTAAAAATATGTAATAAATGTGATTGTCAGGCCAAAGGTGCATTTTTATTATTTTTTTAACCTATTGTTCTAAGAAAACTTCACTTCTTGCCATCAAAGAAAAACTAAAATCTTGCTGAAACTGTAAGATTCCCCATAGGGATTCATTTTTATTTTTAATCCTGTGTGTGTGTGTGTCTGTGTGTGTGTGCAAGGGCATGCACACACATAAATGCAGGTGCCTACAGAGGCCAGAGGCAATGGATCCTCTGGAGCTAGAGTTACAGGTGGTTGTGAGGTGCCCAACATGGGTACAAGAGCAGTAAGCACTCTTAACCACTGAGCCATCTCTCCAGTCCTGTTTTTGGTTTCTGAAAGTGGATAGTGCAGTATAGCTCAGGCTGGCTTCAAACTCAAGATCCTCTTGCCTCAGCCACCCAGGCACTAGGATAATAGGTATGTGCCACTACACATGACCTCATGCATCTGTTTTCATGTTGTGCCTAGCATTTAAATAAATATTTGATGATGTAGCTTTGGCTAATGAATTGCCTCTCTACCTCAAAACCCTCTGCCTTAAACTTTGCCTTCACATCTCTGTATCTGTGAATCACTGCTTGTTTTATTTTAAATTTTATATGTAGTATTTTAGTTCTTCAAAGAATTCATTACTTCCTTTGAGCTAAAGTCTTGACGTAATGTTCATACTGAAGCAAAATCAGTATCCTTTTTCCTCTGGACAATGCCTTTGGAAAAGACAGAGCATTCTAGAAACAGCTTCATTTGCCTACCTCAGACAAGAGGGATGTTTCTGCTTCCACAGGAAGGTTAGCATTATTGTCATTTAAATGGAAAGACAATTAAGCTTTGGAGTTATGCGCCCCTAAGATGAATGGGGCTTATACTTCCG